GAGTTCGAACTTGTCTGTTTCTGTCTTTCTCTTTTACCTGTTAAATAAACTTACTCTTAGCTTTTACAGATTTGTGGTCAGTGGTTCTTGTTGGGCATTTCTCCCTTAACAAGAATGTTTCTCAATAAATATCACTCCTGAAGGTAGATAAATTTGCACAAGAATAACAGCAATGTTCTTACCAATTCCTCGAGGTATCTCTGAAATTGTATTTCGAGATAAATTTAAAACAATCAGATTCTGGAATCTTCCAATAAATTCAGGAATTTTCAACAAACCAATTCTATGAAGCTGCCATTCCTGTAGCTGATTCAGTTTCAGTAGAGAAGAAGGAAGGGTCTAAACTCAAGTATACATATAGAAAAAAAAGAAAAGGTCATTGTAATACTTAAATTTGTGTTTTAATACTTAAAATATTGTATTATTTAAATTGTATTGTTACTTAAATTATTGCAGTACCATGCCACACTGACAATATGATTATGGCAAAGCTTTCCATAAATTTTTAATGTTTCTTGTATTCTTGGTGAAAGTTTTTATATTAAATTAGGTTCATATTAATTATTTCTATATACTGTATATACTTGTGTATAAGTCAAGTTTTTCAGCACATTTTTAATGCAGTTTTTGTGGTAAAATGAGGTGCCTCAGCTGATATTCGGGTGGGCTTATACTCGAGTATGTACAGTCTATCATTCAGGAAAAAGACAGGGCTTTCCACTCCTCGTACAAGCTTGGAAACTCACAGGGGCAGTCTACTCTGTCTTTTAGGCTCGCTATGAGTCAGCATCAATTTGATAGCATTGATTTGATAGCATTAGGGGCTCTTTTTTTTTTAAGTATATATATTGTTCAACAATTGTTACATTTTCCACCAAATGTCAACATTCAATTTATTAACAGTTCCATTGCTCTAGCTTTTCTGTTCCCTACCTTCTTCCTGTCTCATCTTTTCTCTCGGGAAAATGTTTATTGTTCAATCTCATATGGATGATTTTTTAAAAAATAAAAGGCTCAGAGTTCATTGGTGATATTGTTTACTTTGTGATCCAAAGTGGTATTTAGCTAAAAGATGACCTCTGGGGATGGTTTCAATTCTAAGTTTAAAGGCTATCTCAAGGCAACAGTCACAGTAAATCTTCTACACTCTACCATTCTAGTTTGGCCTTTTGGTAAGAATTTAAGATTTGTTCTACATTTTCTCCCCTTCTATCAAGACCATCCATTTTGTCTCTGGCCAGAATAATCAGTAGTGGTAGTCAAATAGCCTCTAGTTCTTCTGGTCTCAGGGCAGATGAGGTTGTGGTTTGTGTGAGCTTTCCTGTGGAGTCTTTTCTTCCTTAAGTTTTTATTGTTCCAGACTAGTAGAAGATTCCAATAGAGGAATGAATCTTAGATGAGTTCTCATAGATTTTTTTGCTCATAGATTTTTAACACCTTAGCTACTATTCACCAAACTATAATGTAGAAAACACATTATGTTGTGCCATTGACTGAGTAGACTATGGTCCTAAGCCTTCAACCCCAGTTAACCAGTCCTGTGAGCTATTTGATTATGTATAGAAAATCTCCATCCCCCATTTGTCTGTCAGCTTGTCATATGTATTTGAAATACCAGCAGGGTCACCCAATGTGAACAGGTTTAAATGGAACTTCCAGATTAAGAACAGACTGCAAAGAAAGAATAGGAGTTCCATTTCTGAGGGATAAACCACTGAACCTTACAAATCGAAGTATAATATTGTCTGATAGAGTGCTGGAAGATGATGACCTCAGGCTAGAAAGCACTGAAAACATGACTCAGGAAGAGAGCTGTTTTTTCAATATAGTTTTGTGTATTGTGATGTGTATAGTGTAGGTTTTTTGGCCTTTTTTTTTTGTTGTGGGGTGTGTCTCAAAAAAAGAAAGAAAGAAAGAAACCACTGCAACCATCAATTAATAATCAGAACATAGGATGAATGATGTATGAATCTAGGAAAACTGGAAATTAAAAAAAGATGGATACAGAAACATCAATATAATTGGGATTAGTGGCCTAAAGTAGACTGGTATTGGTTATTTTGAATTAGAAAAGCATATACCTTAGTATGCGGGGACTGACATTCAATATAAATGGCATGACGTTCATCTTTAAAAGGAACAGTTCAAGATCTGTTTTGAAGTACAGTGTTAGGATAATGGGTAGTAAAATAATAGCAATATGCCAAAGAAGAAGTCTAGTTAATACAACTATTATTCTAATTTATGCACCAACCACTAAAGCTAGTGATGAAGAAATTGAAGACTTCTACCAACTGCTTCAGTCTGAAATCGATCAAACATGCAATCAAGACACATTGATAATTATTGGCAATTGGAATGTGAAAGGAAAAAGAAGGGATGGTAAATGAAAAATAGAAACGGTGCAGAAGAAAGGATGATAGATTTTTGACTTCTTCATTGCAAATACCTCTTTTCAATATCACAAACAGTAACTTTGCCCACAGGTCTTTCAGGATGGAATCCACAAGAATCAAACTGACTGTAATTGTTGGAAAAGGTGATAGAGAAGCTCGATATTAGGAGCCAAAAAGAGGCCAGGTGCTGAGTGTGAACTTGCACTTAAGTTTGTTCAGATTGAAATTGAAGAAAATTAAAACAATTCCATGAAAGCTAAAATAGTATTTTGAGTATATCCCACCTGAATTTCAAGAACAGATTTGAGGCATTGAACACTAATTACAGAAGTCCTGATGATATCAAGGACATTATACATGAAAAAATATAAAGGTCATTAAAAGAAAAGATCAAACTGGATAACAGAAGAGACTATGAAACTTGCTCTTGAATGAAGAGTAGTTAAACCACATGGAAGAAATGATGAAGTATAATAGTTGAACAGAAAATTTCAAAAGGACGCTTGGAAAGACAAAGTAAAGCATTATAATGAAATGTGCACAGACCTGGAGTTATAAAACCAAAAAGGAAGAACACACACTAGCTAAAAGAAATGAAGAAGGGGACTTCTGGGAAGATGGCGACTGAGTAACCACAGGGACTCCACAGAAATCAGCATAGGAAAGTTACTAAGAGGGAAATGTCACATTGCTGGTTTTAGGAGGAGCATCATAAAGATAAGTAGGCACAGATCCACCAGGTTTTGAGGAGCTGGGGGCTATTGGATTACCACAGTGGAGTCCGGCTAGGGTTTGACCTTAGCCCTGCCACAGTCTCAGCCGTAGCCGGGATCATTTGGAGCTGGCGCAGGGGCTTTATCTCAACACAGCCACAGCTTGCCACTGCCTTGGGGCAGGGTTTAAACCCCTCCAGGCCCACAGTCAGGGATCAGGGATCAGCCATATTGTGACTTTTGTTTCCCTCTCTTCATGTCCCCCCATAGTCTGTGGGCTTAGTTTTTTTTCCCTTTCTTTTCCTTTTCTTTTCCCTTTTCTCTCACATGTCACTGATGACCTCACAACCACTCTCCTTAGCCTAGGGCAATTGTGCCTGCCATCCACCCAGCTGGGAGAGCTCCCCCCTCTGCAGTGTGACCTGAGGCTGGGGAAATCCTGCCCACCTTCTTTGGGGTAAATCTTGCCTGTGTGGTTGGGGGAGCTCCTACCTGTCCTCTGTGATCCCATGTGACTGAGGGAACTTACTCCACCTGTCTTAGGACCTGACACGGCCTAAGGCAGCTCAGCCTACACTCACAAATGGTTCATGCTGCTGTGGGAACTTCTGAACAACATCCACAGAAATCTACATGACCAGAGCAATTCCACCCACCATTCACTGTGCTCTACACCAAAGTGGGCAACCCAATAGCCTCTGTGGCACTCCTGTTGAAGCAGGCACCCTGCATGTCTCCTGTGGCACCCCAAGCTGCCATTAGACACACGATCAGAGCTTCTTGTGAGACCACCCCGTACAACACCATCCTCATGGGGCCACAACCACCCAACCATGTCCACTAAGAAGACCATTCAACTTGCCCTCCAAGTAACAATACTGGTTGACTAGGGAATGAGGGAAGCCACAGGAGGATAAAGCGGTAGGCCCCTCCCATAATGCAATTAGCTACAGGCAGTTCAAAGAATCATCCTTATAAGTCTCTCAGAGACAGCCAGTGCTCTACAACTCCATGGAAAATGGCACCTGGATCGTTTAAAACAACGCAACCCAAACAGCATTCAGCCCCAACGCCCTCAACGAAAAAACAGGAGAAACAAAAGGCAATGGCAGAAGATGGCCTGAACCTAACTACATTCATGGAAGAAGCAGACATTGGTCTGCCACAGAAAGAAATTTTTCAGAATGCTGCTTGGACTCATACAAGAGATGAGGGAAACAATACAGAAAAAGGATGAATTGATAGAGAAGGTAAAGACCATACACCAAAGGGAAATACAAGAGCTTAGGGACGA